CCAGCGCTGATGTGGAGAGTTTTTGAACTGTTATTTACTGCTTACGGGTGGGGTGGACACTTTTTCAACTATTCTCCTATGTGAGATGGTTCTTCTTATCTATACTCCATCCATCCTCCATCCTCCAGAGAATACTATAAACACCGGCAAAGCGTGTCGCAAAAAGATACAAAAAATACGTCACTATATATAGGGTTACAAGTGTGTGGAAAAACTTTTTTTAGTTACTTGATGTATACCATAACCATCAAAAGCTTCTTTTTTATAGAAGAGGGGGCAAACGAGCATGTGGCTCACCTGATGGTAAGTGACTACCGCCGCACACGACAATCCCAACACCAGGGGAATTGCAGGTGCGTTGCCGGCCTTTTAGAAATGATTAAGCTCTTTTCTTGAAAGTCTCTAAGTCGTATCGGTCCGGAAAAGTCACCGGTGGTAAACAATTCCACAGAGAAGTAGTACGAGGAATAAAACTCTACTCTAGTACCTGGCGCTAGCGCCATCTAGTGTCGGGGACCAGAGCCAGGAGGGCGTCCTAGAAAATGTCAATCTTGATCTTTCAACCAACAGCGCCATATATTATCGAACAGAAGAATTAAGCTTTCTAGAAGCCCCACACTCGAACTTTCTGCGTCTGGTCGTTTGACGCCCGTATTTACTGGAATATTCTGGATGTTTTGGTGTAAAAGGTGTATTTAAAGCCGCTGCAACCCGCTATCGAGTCAGTATTGAATTTGGCGAGACAAACGAAGCTTCGGAGCGAAATAAAGTGAATCAGTGTGATTAATTATTAGTGTTTTAAGTTTTAATTGGTGTTCGGCAATAAAAGTGTAAATTTTGGTAATTTAATCGGCAGTTTTTATTGTCACGAACCTCAAGCTCGTAACAATTGGTATCAGAAGTGGGATAAAATCATGCCGATTTTACCTAAGGAGGAAACGGAGGGTATCCGTACCCGAAGTCAACGCCAGCAGGAGACGGACCAAAGAAGATTTGGTGGTGTAACGCCGCAGACGTCGGAGGGCCAGCCGCCGGCTGCAGGCCCGTCAGTAGCTCCTACATCTGCATCACCTGACTTAGGTGCTCTGATGGTGATGCTGCAGGAGCAGGCCTACCGACAGGAGGAACAGGTCCGTCAGTTGAAAGAGCAGCTGCGGGGCGGACAAGAGGAACAGGTCCGTCGTTTGGAAGAGCAGCTGCGGGGTGGACAAGAGGAACAGGCCCGTCGACAGGAGGAACAGGTCCGCCGATAGGAGGAACAGGTCCGCCGTTTGGAAGAGCAGCTCAAACGCGATAAGGAAGAGCAGATGCTCCTCATGAAGGACATCCACGCTACCTTCGGAAAAGAGATACGGGAGGTGAAGGATAAGGTTGCTCAACATGACAACCGCCTGTCGGAAGCTGAAACCCGAATCGACCAAGTAAACAATCGGGTTGACAACGTAATGGCTAACATAAAGAAAACGCTGGACGACCTCAAACTGGGGGATGGAATTACAGCTCCCATAGTATCTACAACACCTTCGCTACGTGGGTTCAAAGTGCCACCGTTCGACGGGACTTCTTCCTGGTTAGCCAACAACATCCAGTTCGAGGCAGTCATGGAGGCAAACGGCTGGAATAAAAGTCAGTCCACGACTGCACTCACCCTAGGCCTGCGCGACCAAGCCTTAACTGTGTTGGAAGCTCCTTGAGGCATTGGAGGCGAGATATGGCGACGCTCATCTGGAACACGACTTTCGTGCGCAGCAAAAAGATCGCGTGCAACGCAGCAACGAAAACCTGCAGCAGCAGTGGGCCCTTCAGGTGGAGAAGATGGTTCGAAAAGCATACAAGTCTGTACCTGCGTTCATTGAAGGGAACCTGGTGCAGACATTCATCAACGGCATCCGCGACGTTTAAAATCAGAGCTGCTGTGAGGCTCGGGCACCATGAGACGCTTGAGGACGCCTTGATCCATGCAGTGGAGATGGAAGCCGTGCGGCAGGATCATCATTCCCATCGTGACAGGGAGGTTACAGCAGCTACAGTTCGCGACCGCAATAAAGGATACAGCCCTAGGTGCTATGGCTGTGGGGAAAGGGGCCATCTTCGATCCAGCTGCCCTAAGCGAACTGTAGAAAGGGAAGTTGATCGATCTCAAGAGAGTAGTGCAACTAACGGCACCGCCTGGCGGCGGCAGGAGCATCGTTTCCCTCACGTTAGGGAGGTTGCAGCAGTTACGATTCGCGACCACAATAAAAATTACAGCCCAAGGTGCTATGGCTGTGGGGAAAGGGACCATCTTCGATCTAGCTACCCTAAGCGATTTGTAAAAAGGGAAGGTGATCGATCTCGAGAGGGTTGTGTGGCTAACAGCACCACCCAGCAGCAGGAATACGACTTTGTGATTGAACACCGCAGCGGGAAATCGCATGGCAACGCAGATGCATTGTCAAGGAGACCTTGTCCTGAAGATTGCAAGCATTGTACTAGGCAAGAGAGTAAGAAAGTCGTATCCGTGAGGAACCTCAGGACAGTCCACCTCAGCACCGAGTGGAAGGACAGCTTACCACATGCACAGCAAGGAAGATTCGGACATCAAGCCGATTCTGGAATGGATGAAGGCCTGTGCTCCCAAGCCCAAGTGGAGCGACGTCTCAGCGATGAGTTCGACCACTAAAAGCTATTGGGCGCAATGGAACTGCATGCTGCTTAGGATAGAGTTCTGTGCCGTAAATAGGAAAATGTTCGGGGAGACAGCTGTCATTTGCAAATGGTTGTCCCTAAAGCTAAAGTACCGGATGTTCTACAGCTGTACCATAATGATTGTTCAGGAGGCCATCTGGGAGTTAAACGAACTCTACTGAAGATCCGAGAACGGTTTTACTGGGTCCACTGTCGAAACGATGTCGAGGACTGGTGTCGCAAATGTACAAGTTGTGCGGCTGTAAAGGGACCTCAGACTCATAGTAGAGGTGCATTGAAGTTGTACAATGTTGGTGCACCATGGGAGAGAATAGCCATTGACGTGGCGGGGCCGTTTCCGGAGAGTGAAAGCGGTAACAAATATTTCATGGTTGTGATGGATTACTTCACTAAGTGGCCAGAAGTCTTCGCCATTCCAAATCAAGAAGCTTCAACAGTTGCAGATAAACGAGTTCATGAAGTCTTCTGTCGTTTTGGAGTACCTTTAGAGATTCACAGCGATCAAGGAAGGAATTTTGAGTCTCGGATATTCCAAGAAACTTGCCGAGTTATGGGTACTCATAGAACAAAAACGACTTCTTATCACCCGCAATCTGATGGAATGGTAGAACGATTTAATCAGACATTGGAGAGGTACCTAGCAAAAGTTGTAGACAATCGGCAACGAGATTGGGACAAGCACATACAAACGTTTTTGTTGTCATATCGAAGCGCTGTTCACGAAAGTACAGCAGTGACACCAGCTTTCGCAAACTTTGGAAGAGAATTACGGCTGCCTGCAGACCTGATCATCGGGATACCACCTGATACGCAGTATACTGCGATGCAAGTCATTTGCATAATCGATTATAATCGATTATGCAAATGACTTGCGGAACAAAATGAATGACATTTATGAGCACGTCAGACAATCGGGCCAGCAAATGTCCGAAAAGATAAAAACCCGGTATGACCGCAAAATGAACAACAAAGGGTTCGACGAAGGTTCATTAGTGTGGGTGCACAATACAGTCCGCAGCAAAGGGAAATCTCCTAAGCTTCAAGCTAAATGGGACGGCCCGTACCGGATTGTGACCAGGATCAACGATGTAACCTACCGGATACAGAAAGGCGCAAGAGGGACTCCTAAGATCGTCCATGTGGATCACCTGGTGCGTTATTATGGGGCCGATAATGCTCGGGACGAGCATGTCTTAGGAGGGGGCAGTGTCGCGCACCTAAGTTGACGTCTGGTACCTGGCACTAGCGCCATCTAGTGTCGGGTAACAGAGCGAGGAGAGCTTTCCAGAAAATGCCATGACTAATCTTTCAACCAACAGCGCCATCTAGTATTGAACAGAAGAATTAAGCTTTCTAGAAGCCCCACACTCGAATTTTCTGCGTCTGGTCGTTCGGCGCCCTTATTTACTGGAATATTCTGGATGTTTCGGTGTAAAAGGTGTATTTAAAGTCGCTGCAACCCGCTATCGAGTCAGTATTGAATTTGGCGAGACAAACGAAGCTTCGGAGCGAAATAAAATGAATCAGTGTGATTAATTATTAGTGTTTTAAATTTTAATTGGTGTTCGGTAATAAAAGTGTAAATTTTGGTAATTCAATCGGCAGTTTTTATTGTCACGAACCTCAAGCTCGTAACAGTATTCTCTGCATGGAGTATAGATAAGTAAGTGTAAGTGTGTGTAAGTGTTACTTAAAAAGATTTATAATTTTATAAATCTTTTTGAGTAACACTACACATACTTTTCTAAATTGCTCCGTAAAGAAACAGTCATAATAATTAGTTAAAGTTCGCGCTTAGAGTTATGTTAACATTCATTTTAAAACTAATTACTCCATGATTCCAGTGGTTACATTAAAATTTCAATGTGAGTGTAATTACTTAAATTACAAGCAAAAATATTTTTAAAAATTTTGTCTAACGGTTTTGTAACTGACCTACGACAACTCGCGGATAGCTCGCTGCTGTGAGTCACCGCACCTGCCGGCCGATCGTCGCCACCGCCGCTCGCTACGTATTGCTTTGTTAAGTACTGTCAACATGGCACCAATCAAAGCGTCCTGCGCGGGATGTCACAACGATGTGACTAAAGACGGCGCTTATATGAAGTGTACTCAATATAAGCAAATTTTTTGACATATTTTGTGCTAATTTTAGTCCTGAAAAGTTTGCTACTTTTTCGGTGGAATTTAAGAGGTCCTGGATATGCGTTGAATGTCGCAGTAGACTACCTAAGGGCAATAATTCGCAAACCCCTGTACGCACGCATCAAATCTTAGACCAAAGTATGTCTAGTCCGACTGAAAATGTCAATATGCTCCGTGGCGGAACCCGGTTTAAGCAATCTCCTAACCAGAACCTGACATCAAACTATGTTCTGAACGAAATCAAGGAAACTGTCGTACTGGAACTGAGGAAAACGCAAGCCAATTTTGAAGAGCAGCTTATTGAAAAAATTAACAAATTACTTGCTGAGCAATTTTTGGCGCTAAAAAATGAATTTTTAGAAAAGATCAATATGGTGACGACTAAAATCCAACAATTAGAAGTAACGCTTATGACAAAAGCAGACACTTATAAGGATGCAATAACTAAGAATTTGAGTTTAAATACAATATCAATTAAAGCTGGTCATAAAACTAAAACTCAGTCCCAGATGAAAGCGAAGCCCGTCGTACAAAATGAAAAACCAAGTACCTCGCTCGCAGATTCAGTACCTGATGCAGATAGAACTATGCAGAAGTCCCGCTCTATATCTGCTCTTGCAGTTGGCGATCCCGACTCTGATAACCTTGACAAAGACGGATGGGTGGAGGTGAGACGCAGACGATCTCGTACTTCGCTTCCTGGCGTACTTAGAGGTACCGCAGCGCCTGGATCGACACCACTTCAGGCTGCCGCTAGGTGGAAATACCTGCATCTGTACTATCTTCAAGAAGATACCACTGTGGAACAAGTGCGGGATCACCTTAGTATTATATGTCGCGGTGACATGAGTACCGTCGAGAAGCTGAAGTCCCGTGGGCGCTATGCTTCTTTTAAGGCCGGTATTCCTCTTGAAATTGCTGAAACTGTCATGTCATCTGGCAACTGGGCTGAAGGCATATGTGTTAAGCCTTGGCGTCAGAACTTTCGTGTCAAAATCAACAGCCAACAAGCATCCTCCGAGAGTACGTGAGTTAAGGATTTTTTATCAGAACGTTCGAGGCCTATGGTCAAAAACAAGTACATTTATGAACAATGTTACACATAGTGAATATGACTTCATAGGGTTGAATGAGACCTTTTTAACTAGTTCAGTATTTGATAGCGAACTTTTCCCACCTGGTTACACGATAATACGTAAAGGTAGAGCAAACGATACTGAGTGGGGGGGGGGGGGGGGTACTGCTTGCTGTTCGAGACTGTTATTCTGTTCGGGTTGTTACTGAAATTGATCGTATGACTAATGACAAAGAATTAATATTTGTAATTATTAATTGTAAAAATATTAAAATATTATGCTGTCTTGTATACTTACCTCCGAACTATAATGACGTTCAATATTTAAATGTTTTGGCCTATATTGAATATGTTATTTTTACATACATCGACATGAATGTATTAATTTTGGGTGATTTCAATTTGAATTCTTGTAGCGTTAATGTAAAGACCCACTTTGATTTTTTTGTAATTTTTGTTCGCTCCACCAATTTAATACAGTGTTAAATAGACGAGGCGGTATGTTGGATCTCGTACCGAGCAATTTAGAGCCCAGTCAATTAAGTGTGTCTCTAAATTTAGACCCTCTGGTAGAAATTGATGAGTATCATCCCGCGCTTGATACTATAATCAAGCTTCCATTCGCTTTTTCAACATTCACTTCTTCTCCTGCATCGCCAAAGTCACCCTTTCCAATACGCAGAGCTACCGCTGGAACTGGCGAAAGGCAGATTTTCATGGTCTTTATGCGGCTTTATCCAAATTAGATTGGTCAGATTTACTTAAAGAGATTGATATTAACTGTGCTGTTCAGTTGTACTACGAGAAATTGTACGACTGTATAAATCTCTTTGTACCCGTTTCTTTGCGCACTACACTATGTATATCCTAAATGGTATACTGCTGAAATTATAAATAATATTAAAAGTAAATACTATCATCTTTAGAAGTATAAAAAGGAAGGTAAAGAATTCAATAGGCAAATGTTTAAGCATTATATGGAGCAGGTAAAAAAAAACTGATAGACAGGGAATATAAGCAATATCTAAAATCGGTACAACGTAATATTATTAACGATCCAGTCAAATTTTGGGATTACGTTAAAGACAAAAAATCAGGAGGTAGAAGACGTACGGATACTTATATATATAAGGATACTGAAGTGGACGGGCAGGCTGCTGCTGATGCCTTTGTAGAATTTTTCAGCTCTGTGTTTCATCCGAATATAACCTTTTTGGATCCTATTAAGGCTGTTTAAGCTGCACATTTTAACCAGGACATTACGTCCGTATCGTGTATATATCGATAAACGCCGTCAATACGAGGGATTTGAAGGAGGCTGTGAAACGTCTCAAACCGCGTTCATCCAGTGGGCCTGATGGTATTCCTGGTTTCTTGGCTAAAGATTATATAGCTGTACTGTAGGGGCCTCTCTTGCATCTCTTTAACCTTTCACTAGCTAATGCTAGGTGCCCTCAAATTTGGAAGCGTTCCAGGATTACCCCAGTGCCGAAAGGGGATGGGAGTATGAACGTATCAGAATTTAGACCAATTGCTGTCCTATCAGTGTTAGCCAAAATTTTTGAGTCTATTCTCAGCAAACATATTAATAATCAGGTTGGTCATTTGTTACACAATAGCCAACACGGTTTCCGTAAGGCTCGTTCTACTACTACGAACTTAATTGCGCATGTAGACTACATATATAAGGAGATGGACAGTTACAAAAAATAGACACGACATACTTCGATTTCAGAAAGACCTTTGACCTCGTCGACAACGACAAACTATTAGAAAAGTTGGCATTTATTGGCTTTACTCCCACACTCATTCGGTTTTTCGCATGCTTTCTGAATAATCGATGTCAGTATGTGCGGGTGAACGGGTATAATTCCAGCGATTACTTCACGAAGTCAGGCGTTAGTCAAGGCAGTACGTTGGGTTCAACCCTCTTCCTGCTCTTTATAAATGATCTGCCGAACACCGTTTGTTTTTCTGAATGTCTCCTATTTGCTGATGACTTAAAACTCAGTCTGGGTATTGAATCTGAATCAGATACCATAAATTTACAAAGAGACATTGATGCGGTGTTGAGTTGGAGCCAAGAAAATCTATTACCTTTAAACATCTTTTACTCGAAAATCCTAGACCAATTGTAAATTTATATAGCTTACTTGACGCTCCTCTGGAAAGAGTAAATAATATTCGAGACTTAGGGCTGTTATTAGATTCCAAATTAGACTTTCATCTTCACATGACAAGTATCTGTAAGAACGCGTATAGAATGTTAGGTTTTGTTATTAGGACTGGAACACAATTTGAAAATGAAGTAGTTGCTAAAATAATGTTTAACGCATTTGTTCGTAGCAAGCTGGAATATGGTGCTGTTGTCTGGGACCCATTTGAGGACAAGTATGTCCTTATGGTCGAGAAGAAACAGTGTATTTGCCGTGTTACTTTATCCTTCTTTGTTCGTATTAGGCATGGTTGGTATGGAAACTTTGAAATTTAGGAGGGTTATGCTAATGCTGACACATTATCTCTCTATACTCTATCATAAGATCGATAGTCCGCAGATACTAGAGAGTGTACGCATCTTAGTTCCCCCTAATATACGACAGGAGTCAGGGCTGCAGCTAGCACCGCGCCGCCGGCCTCGTTTGCTAACGCGCCCTGTCGCGCGCACCAGACGCGGCGAGCACGCGCCTACTATCCGCGCTGTACGAATAATTGGTGACATAGTTGCTCAGTACGATGATCTTGACTTATTTGCTGATGGATTGAGTAAACTTATAAGTAAATTAAGAAATATTGTAACTGACATTATATAATTTTAATCCCTGACATTGATTATTATAATTACTATTTTGATGATGTGTAATATTTTGTTTGACTATTTTGGTCTTTTTGTTTTATGAATTTGACTATTTTCGTTTTATTAATTTGATTATTTTGCGTTTTATATTTTTTGTAATTTAAACATGACTTAAAATAGACAATTTTAACATAATGTATCCTAATGTTGATGCTATCATCTGTTAGCTTGTAGGCATGTATGTTATAAATAAATAAATAAATAAATAATAAGGAGAACCATCTCATATAGGAGAATAGTTAAAAAAGTGTCCATCTGTAAGCAGTAAATAACAATTCAAAAACTTCCCATAACAGCGCTGGCATAGCTAGAGGGTATAAAATAAACTTAGTAGTGGTCGACGGAGTGCTGAGTTGAGGAATTTAATATTTGTGGTGACTATAGTAGTTGATGAAACTGCAGTACTTAAAACCTCAACTACTCATGATGTCTAAAATAATTTCGTAAATATAACCTAGAAAAAGTCACTGTGAAACACGTTGAGAGTGATCTTGAAAATAAAAATTTTGAAAACAATAAAATAATAACTATAAAAAAGAATTATGGTAAAAGACTGCAATAAAAAATTATAAAAAATTCTTTAAAACTTATTCCCTAGCTAGAGTGGGCGCCACCCTTATTTAGCGCTTTCCTACGGACACTTTTTTATAGATTTGGTTCTCCTTACCTCTACACTCCATAATTTTCTGTTTACGGTACAATCACCTTTGAGTATTAAACCAACTAGAGAGGCCTTGTGCGTTAATTTCTAAAAAAAAATTGTCAATGTCAGGGTGGAGCGCAAGAAAACACACTACTGCATACTTCAATACAAATGCAAAATTGAATCGAGCACACTACACGCACACTACAGCATTTATGTTTGTGTCATTGATCGCATACCATCAAATTGTACCCGTGTCGGAACACGGATGCCGCTGTCTACATGCGTAAGCAACGTAATCCTGCATGTCTTACCAGATCGTCTCTCGATCTATTGGGGGGTAGCCCTGCACTTCACCCACCGGTATGAGGCTGCCACTCCAGAACCTCCCCCCCTATCGGTTGTCGATTCTTCGAACTATATGGCCGGCCTATTGCCACTTTAGCTTACTAATCCGTTGTGATATGTCAGGCACTCTGGTTCTACTGCCAATATCCTTATTTCTATGTTAATCATGCCTAGCCATGCAATGCAAACGTCGCGATACCATCCACACCATCTGGATGCTCGGCGGTCCACCACTGTACGTTTCAAAAGGAGTTTTCTTCCTGACTGAAGTTGCCTGACTACCTTAGAGAATGGGAAGCAGCATCTTCCTAATAACAACAATAATATAATAAAAAAACTGCGGCTGCCAACCCGCTCGCCAAGCGTGGCAAGTATGGCAAATATCCCCCCACGAGTAACGACACAAACAAACGGCCCCCAATCCCCGGCGACCCCACTATTCCTGGCTTCGGTAGCGACCATGGTAACGGTGGAGCAGGGGGTGCTAAGAATCTTCGGTGGAGGTTCGGTTGCCACCTACGACGACTCGACCTGGCAACATTTAACGCACGCACCCTGAGGATGGACGAGAAGATCCTGGAGCTTGAAGAACAGATAGACAAGTTGCGCTGGAATATTATAGGATTTTCCGAGGTCCGGTGAGAGGTGGAGGACACGGTGATTCTCGAATCCGGCAACATGTTCTATCATCAGGAGGGCAACCATCTATCCCAAGGAGGTGTCGGATTTATCGTCCACAAATCTCTCGTCAACAACGTTGTAAAGATTGGGAGTGTGTCGACGAGGCTTGCGTACCAGATACTCAGAATCTCCAAACGGTATTCGCTGAAGGTCATACATGTTTACGCACCAACCTCGGCACATCCCGATGAGGAGGTGGAGGATATGTACGAGGATATTTCTAGAGCCATGCATTCCTCCAAAACCCACTGCGGTGTTGATGGGAAACTTCAACGCAAAACTAAGGCACAAAAGAAAGCGGTGAGCTGAAGTTAGGGAAATTTGGAGTAGGGCAACGGAACCGTAGGGGCCAGCAGCTGGCCGACTTTATGGAGAAAGAGGGACTCTTTATGATGAACTCTTTCTTCCAGAAGCGATCCCACAGGAAGTGGACCTGGTCGATCCCCGACGGTTCGACAAAAAATGAGATTAACTTCATTATGACGACCAGACGCCAACTGTTCAGTGATTTCTCAGTGATTGCAAGGGTGAAAACTTGCAGCGATCACCGAATGGTTAGAGGCACACTGAACCTTAACTTTAAGTTGGAGAGGTCTAGTCTAATGAAGTCAACGCTCCGTCCCCCCTCGTGCTCTGATCCAGAATCCCGAAATCTTTCGGCCCGAGTAACGTAACCGCTTTCAGTGCCTAGAAGATTGCGATGCAGTGGACGATATGAATGACAAGCTCGTGGAAACTGTCCATGCGGTCGGAGCTAATTTCTGCAAGACCCGCCGCAGAAGAACACAAAAACTCTTCGATCACACTCTTAATCTCATGGCTGTTAGACAGGAGATGAGGCTGCAATCGTCAACAAATTTGACAGCATACAAGCAACTGAACAGACAGATCTCCAAATGCATGCGGTGAGACTTACGCAACTTTAGTACTGCTCGTATTAAAGAAGCGATCGAGCGGAACAAGGGCTCTAAAGTATTTGCCAGAGATCTGTCTGCCAGAAAGAGCCAACTGTCAAAGCTGAAGACTGAGTGTGGCAGCATCCTTTCCGGGACACCTGAGATTTTGAGTGAGATTGAGATGTTCTATGGGCAGCTGTACACATCATCGTTGGAGCCACACGCAAGTGTGAGTAACGATCCAAGAGCAAGTCTTATCCGACACTATCCCGATGATATCCCGGACGTCAGTCTGAGCGAGATTAGAATGGCTCTCCAGCACGGCAAAACGGCACAGCAAAACGGCAAGTCCCCGGGCGAGGGTAGAATTACAACGGAGCTTCTGAAAGCGGGTGGAAAACTGGTACTTGAAGTCCCTTTAGAGGCTCTTTAATTCCGTCCTCCATGGTGGCACTACTCCGGAGGCGTGGAGCAGAACTGCGGAGGTCTTGTTCTTCAAGATAGGTGACAACGCCCTCTTGAAGAACCACAGACCGATATCTCTTCTGAGCCGCGTTTACGTGTTGTTTTCATAAGTCATTACGAATCGTCTCGCACGCGGACTCGACGACTTCCAGCCTCCCGAACAAGCCGTTTTCCTAAAAGGCTTTAGTACCACAGACTACATACATACCCTTCGGCAAATTGTACAGAAGTCCGAAGAGTACAATCTGCCACTTTGCCTGGCGTATGTGGTCTATGAGAAAGCCTTTGTTTCCGTCGAAATTTGGGCGGTGCTACAGTCTCTTCAGCGGTGCCAAGTTGACTATCGATATATCAAAGTGCTGAAGTGTTGGTACAGTAGGGCTACGATGGCTATCCGAGTACAGAACCAGAAAACGAAACCTATCCAACTGCAGAGAGGTGTAAGACAGGGTGACGTTAAACTTTACAGAATTCAAGCTTCTGGACTGGAAAGGATACGGTATTAACATCAATGGCGAGTAAATCACTCATCTTCGATTTGCCGACGATATAGTCCTTATGGCAGAATCGCTGGAGAACTTAAGCACTATGCTCAATGACCTCAATAGTGCCTCCCAACGGATAGGTCTTAAGATGAACATGGACAAAACAAAGATCATGTTTAATGTCCACGTCACACCTATGCCGGTAGTTTTTGGGAGCACTAAGCTCGAAGTTGTTGACGAGTATGTTTACCTGGGACAAATGGTCCGACTAGGTAAATCCAACTTCGACCGAGAGGTTAATCAACGGATTCAACTCGGCTGGGTAGCGTTCGGGAAATTACAACACATCTTCTCATCAGCTATACCTCAAAACCTGAAAACTAAGTTGTACAACCAGTGCGTGTTGCCAGTGATGACCTACGGAACCGAGACATGGTCCTTCACTGCTGGTCGTATGAGGACACTCAAAGTCGCTCAGCGAGCTATGGAGAGGGCTATGCTCGGAGTTTCTCTGCGTGATAAACTTAGAAATGAGGATATCCACAGTAGAACCAGAGTAACCGACATAGCCCAACGGATTAGTAAGCTGAAGTGGCAATGGGCCAGCCATATATCTCGAAGAACCGACAACCGTTGGGGAAAAAAGGTTCTCGAGTGGCAGCCTCGTACCGGTAGGCGAAGTGTAGGGCAACCCCTCCCCCCCACCCCTAGATAGTGACGACCTGGTAAGAAATGCAGGAAGTCGATGGATGCAGGTGACTCAGGACCGTGCTTTGTGGCATATCTCGGGAGAGGCCTATGTTTAGCAGTGGACTAGTGAAGGGCTGTAATGATGATGATAATGAAATCATCATAGTCCGCATAAGTTTAGCGTTGGTAAAAGCGAATTTTTATTATATACATATACAAATATATAGTATATACAAATACAAATCACGGTACTAAATCACCTGCATACATCAACTTCCTGCGTGTCTGACCAGGTCGTCACCCGATCTATTTGGGGTAGCTCTGCACTTCACTGGTATGAGGCTGACACTCAAGAACCTTACCCCCCACCCCCCACCCCAATCGGTTCTTCGAACTATATGGCCGGCCTATTGCCAATTCAGCTTACTAATCCGTTGAGATATGTCGGACTTTCTGGTTCTACTGTGAATATTCTTATTTCTATGTTTATCATGCAGAAAACCCCAAATATAGTCGTCTTCGTAGCTCGTTGAATGACTTTGAACTTCCTCATACGGCCAGCAGTGAAGGGTTTTTAGTGTTATATAAAATTATGATTTTACTAGTAAATATAATTGTGGCCAGTTTTTGAAAGCCTGATCAAACTCAGATTTTAATTCAAATTTAATCAAAAAGTTGACTGTGGGTACTTTCCACGTAGTTTTTATAACGAGCAATAAAAATATAAACATAAATGTTTATGTTATGTTATAAACGCTAACGAGTCAGTAGCTTCATCGAAATTATCGGATATAATATCGATGCCGTAGTTGACATAGCCATAATGCCTTTGACTGCTTGCATGGTATTTCATCAACTGCTTAATTTTAATTTCATCCATGACCAAGGTATAATAAAAACTTTTTTTTTGTTTTTTTTTTTCCTTGGTGTATAGTCCGTTCGCTTAGATACGGTCGTTTTTTGAAGATTGGAGTCTCCTAACACAAGTTTTTATATTTAAAATAAGACCTCATCCCCGGTTATAATTTATGTATGATCTTTTACTGAATATACTATTTTTATTTATTATTTATTGGGGTACCTATCTATATAGTTTTTTCATCTGGCTGGGTTCTATAAATATATAATATAAATAAACGAATGATATCAATATCACATAAATATCATAATAATATAAAAAAAACATAAATAAATAAAACCCGTAAGGAGAAAACAGAAACCTAAAACCTGATAGGCTTAAGTACCTTGATAAACTGAACTAGAACGTAGACTTCTTTCTATGAGAACCTAGGTTTCTCTGCCCACGGTTTCCTACTAATGGTCTGTGTCCGAAGCTGACAAATCATGGAGGTTAGAGAACGGGAGAACGATCGGAACGTGCTAAAGCATAGCCCGCCTGCCCCTGGAAATTTGTAGAATTTATAGCTATCGCTGCCGTCGATAAGTATCTGCGAAGTAATTTTTTAATTATTATTTAAGAAAGAAACATTATAAAATGGTGAAATAATATTTAAAAAAAATCAATGATAATTAATAATTTATATTTGTAATAATTTATAATAATTAAAATTATGAAAACATAATTTATAATTTTTTTAATAAATAATAATAATTTCGTTATTTAATTTTTTCCCCTTGAATAATATAATAATCATTTCAAACTGGCGCACAACAGCCTGCTTTTATTGAGACAACTTAGCGATCGTAGCGCTTCACTAGCGTCCCAGAAATATGGACAAGTCTAGTAATAGTCCATATTTCTGAGACACTGTTTTCTACAGCGATCGTTGTCCAGTTTTCTAACCTCCATGTGACAAATCATGAAACCTCTATTTAGCGGTTTTATTGTGAACCTGGCCGACGACAGAATGTCACTCCTGTTTTTTTGCTTGAATAATGGTTTGAAGTGGATTTTAATTCGTAAAAGTGATGTAATTTTGTGAATTAAGTGTCTGCGCTTGTGAAATATTAGAGAAAACGACGAAACAATTGCTTTGATGTTGATATAAACCTCAAGTTAATTTGATCGCTTGGGCGCCTTATGAACTTGAGTGGCTGTCGTCATCAACAGTCCACTGGGTTGAGCTGTCGTCAAAATCTCCCAAAAACTTCGCAAAGCGACGCATCAGCATATTGTGAAGAAAGAATATATAAAATGAAGATTCTGAAAGAATTGATAGGCTCAGAAGGGCTGGTACCCAGAGCCGTATAGCCAGTTTTAAATAAAAAAACTTCTATTTGTGTTTTATCTGTAACAGTCAATTTAAATTTTTAAACGTGGAACCGTTTGTGTTATTTACTACACAGAGTATTTTTCTTGGTTTACTATTTTAGCTGTTACTTTTTTATTATCACTGTACTGGGATTTTAGTAATGGTTATTTTGTTGGATTAGCTAGCAGAATGATAGATCAACGATGTTCTGATTATGATGAGTCAAGGCGAGATATACCTTCTTTTATCGAACCCAGACCACCTTTGATATCTAATCCTTTTATGCGTCCTCGACCCCAGAAAGGCACAAATCTGTTGGAGTTATTCGAAGAGGATTCTGAGTGTGAAGAACCGGAGTTGGTGCAAGTTTATTTAAGGCTAAAACCTTGTAATATTCCAAGTAATTTATATGAAATAAAATCAGATCGCTGTTTAATTACGTCTTTGGATACTGCAACTGTGGGTCATGGACGGCGAACTCAGCATAATGTATCGAAAATGTATTCGTTTACTCATATATTTGGGCCAGAGGCAAATCAAAAAGTGAGTATAAATAGGTACTTATCGAAAGGCATTTCTGTTTCAGGTCTAATCTATTAAATTATGTAATATTAATTGCATCAGCAAAATTGTCCTCATTCTCACTGCTTTTAAATTGCTACTTACATTGAATATTGCTGTCAAAGTGAAAGAAATTACTCCATTTCTCTCACTGAACTATGGCTAAAGTTATTACCTATTTAATATTGACATCTTTCTAAAGAATTTTAATAATGAAATAATTTAATTCACTGTACAACTCATCAGAAATTTTGTAGATATGTCAATTAATGTTCTGCCTATAGAGTCTGAAGGGAACAGTCAGATATAGGACAAAGTGTAATGCTGCAGTGGGGTAACTTGTTATCCAGCGAGGTCCTTAGATATTTCCGACGGGTTGTACAGCCTGTATATTCAGCTTTTGTTTTGTGTAAGTCAGTATTAAAATGAAATGATTACATTATTTACAGGAATTATTTGAACGTGTTGTAATGGATAATTTAAAAAAGTTGCCTGAAGGAAACAGTTTCACATTACTTACATATGGAGCTTCTGGTTCAGGCAAAACATTCACCCTCATGGGTACAGTGGCTGCACCCGGTCTTGTTCCTCGATCTCTGGAATATGTTTTTAGAGTAGTAGATGCAGCTCAGAGACCAGTATATAAACCGGCTGACAATGGTGCAGAGAAGCTTAGCAAGGCTGCGCAAGATCATGAGATGCAGGTATGGTTTACATTTTAAATTACCTTTATTTATTTATTACTATATAGTGAAAGAAAAAAAGAAAGACCTTTTTTAAATTACTTTTATTTATTTATTACTATATATTGAAAGAAAAAAGAAAGACCTTTATTCACTAGAACTGTACACATGACAAATAATAATTACTTTTATAAATTGAAATATTTCGTTGCTCATAAATATACCTTTATATACATTTAGAGATATACACACACACACATACAAGACATTATACACATACATTCTATATAAAAATAAATAAAATAAAAAATATATAAAGATAAATGTAACAATAAGCTTTGTAAATACATACTAAAAACAAATATATAATGCTCAACGATGCTGGAAGAAACATCTGTTGTAGGCTCTAGGTTGAGCTTTTTGTGAGTGTAATAAATGATTTTCATAGTGTGATTTAAAATTATACTTTGAATTACACTCACAAATAGGTGGAGGAATGTCGTTCCGGCACCTAGTAGCTATATATTTAAAGCTACCTCTGAAAGCTGCTGAACAGTAAGTGAAATTGGCATGCAGGTTTGTACAATATTTTGTTGATTTCTCTATATAAGTTTATCATATGAATATAGGGTGACTTAGTTTTGACAACATCAAATAATATATTAGCGAGGTATACTTTGTCGCACTTTTATTTTTAAAATACCCCAATTGAAAAAAGGTGTTACATGGGACTATTTTGGTATTGAGAAGCAGTATTGTGCATATACATTTTGTATATGTTGAATTAGATGTTGTGACTTTTCCAAAATACACGGTCCATAGACTGTAATGCAGTGGTTTAATTTTGAAAGAATGAGAGATTCACACAGTCTAATTTTCAAGTCTAACTGAATCTATTTGCTGATTATGTATATAATATGATAATGATAACCTTTAAAAGCAATTGTGGAGAAGCTTGAGTACATGTTTTTCAAAACACAATCAGCCATCCATAACTAAGCCAAGGTTACGAGCTTCACTTACACACTTCAGAGAGATGTTTAACAACATGATTCACTAAACATGAGTCACTAAATATTTTATATTTTCAAATAACTTTTCAAGCTTATTAGGAACGAAATGAAGTAACAGCTGACCGATAACCGTGTTTACACTTCAAGGGATCGTGCGTGACTCTATGATATTATTATAATAAATTAAGAAAGAATACCAGCGTAAAATAATAGCTCAATGTTGCTGTGTTTCATATGGTGAGTATAGAGAATTGGAGTCCTATTTTAACAGACATGAGGCATTCCACTTTAGTCCTTACGGGTGACAATGCATCTGCATTTTGATTTATAATTGAGGATAAATGTAGATGTCTATGGGCCACAGCAACCACTTACTGTCAGGTGGACTGTGGTGTTTCACCCTTATCCTATAAAAAAATATATTAGAGACCATCATACATATGTACATAAACTCTCATGCCCGTATACACTTCCATTTGGTACAATCTCAACTATATGAATAAATATGTAGTTGTTTTTTAAATTTGAAGTAATGTCAAAATAACTGCTTTTACTAAATGCATATGATATGATACTTATAACAAAAACACAATTACTAAAAAATTTGTCTGTCTATCTGTTTGTTCCGGATAATCTCCAAAATGGCTGGACCGATTTTGACAGGACTTTCACTGGCAGATAGCTTATGTTATATGGAGTAACTTAGGTTACTTTTATTTTAGAAGAAATAGGCTGTGCAAAAAAATTAAAACCCTTAATTACATTCGGGTAGAAGTCGCTGTGAACAGCTAGTATCAAATAATTATTATCAATGTTAATATCTGTTTAATATGTTTAGGACTATCAATCCTCATAATTGTGCTCAGAGTGGTCATCACTTCATTCATTAATTTGTTTATTCATCAAAAGTATACTGCTGAATTTAGACTTCCTCTGTAGATTGCCACATATCCATTTTGTGCGTTGAAACTGCAGTTTTTATTATTATTATTATTGTTATGTTAAGATGATGCTATCTCCTTTTTTGACACCCATATGGGTTAATATAGTATAGTGTATAATACTCTTTACCACTACACAGCACCGTCATCATTATGTCAAGTCATCAGAAAGTATGTGATTGCATGTTAAAAACATCAACAACTACAATTAGTAGGTTATTGATGGCTTTATTTGACTTCGACAGTTCCTCTCTCCAATGTGAGAAACCCGTTACTAATAGTGGAATACAGGTTAATGAGGAAGAAAAGAAATCTTTCTTATTATACAAACATAATTAGTATGTATTAACAGATAAGTGGTAACCTATACTTAATTTCTTATTACAGTTTGTGAAACAGATGCGACATGTGTCAGCACCATTAAGAGATAAATATCGCCGAATGAGTGTACAGCTAAGGAATGATCTTACCACTAGCGATATGGAATTGCCTAGAAAAACAAAATACTATGTTTGGGTAAGAAGTACCAGTTAATGTAAATTCCTGTTCATTACCAGCCTCAAATTGCTGCCTCGGCTTGCATATTATTTTCAGTCATGAGGCTTACGAAATGTCTTAATTCGAAAAAATAATGTATAAATATTAACAACTACTGATTTTGGGATATTAAAAAGCATTAAAATCCATACAATAACTTATTATATTATGTTTAAATGTTTTTCTGATTTCATTCTATTAGAGAAGTTACATTAATTTTTTGCCACAAATTTATATATTTAGGAAGGAAGGTAGTTACTAACAATGTGTGATGAAGGGTTATTACACAAAGGGCTTTGAATTAAATATAATTATTTTTATTCAATATAAAACTATGACCACTGGTTCGAAGAAAACCTCTGTCCTGGGAAGAACCAGCAAGAAACCCAGCGGGACATTTCTTTTAAATAGAATTAATTACAATTTATTACTTTACACTACTACGAAATACACAGATCAGAGATAATCAACTATAAATTGTCCTGAGACTAATTTAATAGCTGATAATAATAATTAATTCGTTTTCACGAATTAATTATTCGAAGAGTCGAGGGTGAGATAGTAGCGGGATACAACAAGTGCACCGAGCCACGCCAGAGGCAGCAGGCGCCGTCATATTTATATGAAAAAATATTTCATTTGATTATTTCTTTATTAACGATTTCATTTGTAATGATTTCTTATATTTACGCGAACACTACACATTGATTAAAACTACTTTTACGGATTTTATCGCGTTTATTTTACTTTCAATTACTTTTATTTTTTTAATTCCCGACGTTTCGGGCGCTTTCCAGCACCCATGGTCATGGACATCTCAGTCCCCCGTGACCATGGGTGTTGGAAAGCGCCCGAAACGTCGGGAATTAAAAATAAAAGTAATTGAAAGTAAAATAAACGCGATAAAATCCGTAAAAGTAGTTTTAATCGATTTCGTTTGTAATCATTAAGGCTTTACCTCTAGCGAACGACCTTGAGCGTTTGGCCTGCCGACGCTCTCGCTACAATATATCGCGTAGAAATCTGCAAGACGCCACCTACTGGTACGAACGTAGTATTAATTTATCAATGTCAATGAACTATTTTATGGAAATAGACACGGCAGAAAATGATATGTGTATTTTAATTTTCTTTATTCGGTATATTAGTTGCATTATATTAGAATTATGTATTCTCATATATTATCTAATTAATAAAATTTTGATTATTTTTAACTATATCTATACTGCTAATATTGAATTAGCTTTTTATAGAGTAAATTATAATATTTGTCGAAATGTTAATTTGACTAATGATTCGAACTTTACATGCTAATGGTGCTTTTTTGTTATTTTCATTTACTTACATATTGAAAATATACTTGAATAGTAGGTATTATTATTTTATTTAGCTACTGAATTTTAGGATATGTTTTACCTTGAGGTCAAATATAATTTTGAGGAGCAATAGTTATTACCTACTAGTCTTTTATCTGCTATTCCTTATTTAGGAACAATATTAGTATTTATTATTTTAATATTTACCTACTGGGTAGGTAAGTATTAAAATAATAAATATAGCATTAGTAACTAAATAGATATTTTTTTACCCAATTACAATAACTAATGATATATTGTGATTATTTGTGATTAGTAATACTGGGTGGGTATTAACCTTTCCCTTGCCGCGCCCGCCATAACAAAAAACAGAGCTTTGTACCAGGGCCTCTGTCGTCACCTCAGCTGGCGGCACTTGTTATAAACACTTATGTTTCTCACGACCTTTCGTTTATGTTTAAAGAGGTTTTAGTTACAGTTATTTGAAGCCGATAAAATTTTTGATAAGTAGAAACAATAACCATAACATATAAATGTTTATTTTACTTTGTACAGCTCTTTGTTTCTAACCGATCTTGATAAAGTGTACTTACTGACGATAAATTTTATTTTATGAATGATACATCGTAAGTTTTTATTTTATTTTTATGTCCTTAGAATCAATACAACATATTCTTCCTAAATGAACCGAAATTATGCATGTAATAATTATAATAATTCTACTTTTTCACTTGCAAACATTTGCTAAAAATTCGACAATAGACAGTTAGCGCTTGCTTTGAAAATGAGTTTACACTTACTTTTTTACTTTACTATTTACTTTTTGTGTATATATTTTATATCGTCTTCCTTTATTTTTCTTATACAATCATATAGATATAACATTTAGCAATTCCTAGTCAAAGTATTTACTGTGGTATTCCAATAAGAAATATACTACTATTATTTTATTAGAATCTTATTAGAAATCTTGACCGTTATGAATTGTTCGGCGTAGAGGTTTTATATTTCTACTTTTTTATCAATTGAAACATAAAAATTTACTGTTTTTGTAACTTAAATCATTCAAAAACATTACGTAGTAAAGATAAATGACATTACTTACAGTTTTTTTGAAAGAAAATCCAACTAAAATCACAATCACAAAACTTCAACGATTACGCAACTAACCGTACCGATATGCAAAGGCGAATGGCTGTTATATTTGATTTTGTCTATGTAACCGAGTGAATATAATTCTTCAGAATATTCTTTAGTTCGTTCACAATCGAATGAAATAGTGTTCAATCGAAAATATACTGTATTTTTATATCAATTAATGACGAAAATAGCAGCACGTAATGCGGACATGTATACATGTCCTCGGTACTCAGCGGTCACAAAACGTGGACATGTTAACATGTCCACGGTACCTAAGGGTTTAATAGATAGAACAAAATAAAATATTAAGTCAATTTTATTATCTTGAATGTAAGAAATTGATTACAAATTTTTTAACTTCCTTAAATTATAAACAAACAGCTGCAGCTATTAAATGAACACATATGTGCATACATACGCCCATATATATAAGTGGTTATATATATATATTGAAAATGAAAAGATAAATATACATAAATATCAATAACATAAAATAAATATTAAAATACATAAAAGACCAACCAGATGGAGGCCCTTGGCAGGGGAGACCAAACGGCCGAGTTTATTATTGTTATTATTATATTATATATATTATTATTATAAGTTGTGGTTCGTTGAAGCTGCAACCTAATGGACCATGATTTGAAATTTTTATGAAAAGAAGTGGCTGACATCAATTATTATTCTTCTTATTATTTTTTCATTACTGCCTTTTTCAACCTCATAAGATATTTGTAACTGCAAAAAAGAAAACTACGTATAAGTAAGTAAATCAGTAATATAGTGTTATGTATGATTCAGACTAAATAAAGGTTCCTAAAGGCTCCTAGACATAGATAAAGAAATTGCATAAAAAATTTACTCAAATAAAAATGCAATAAACTTGTTAATTTTATAGGTAGTAACATATTAAAATAATGAGTTTTTTTAAGATATTTATGTAAAACATAAAGGTTATATTATGTTCTAACTACGTTCACGCTTGCGCATATAAAACCGCGGAATTTCACTAGTTTTATTATCAAAATTTGACAACCCTACTCTAAGTGCCTTGATTTTACCAACTCAAACTCGTTTTAGAAGATAAAAACATAGAGAGAAAGATAGGAGACTATTTTTTATTTAAAATGGTTCATCAAATCCGTAAAAATAGTGTAAAATACTCACACAATAAAATTTTGAAGTGCAGGTAAAATATCTGCGACCAACATTTGAACAATTCTGACGTTCACACACATTTCAAAACTTTTTGCCAGAACCAAAAGTAAGCGCTGGCATGCGACAAAAATCGTGCCATAAATAAAATAAAGTCTCTAGCTCGAGAGGAGAGGAGCCGTGGTAGCTCAGATGGTTAGCGCTTGCTTAAATTTTCACAGTGCGCGAGCAAACCGGGTTCGATCCCCGCCGGCACCAATGATATTGTAATTGCAATTTTAAGTGTTGATTTATCACGTGCTCAGTGGCGAAGGAAAACATTGTGAGAAAACCTGCATGTCTGAGAAATAAGAAAAAAATATTTCGAAGACATGCGAAGTTCGCCAACACGCATTGGGGTAGCGCGGTTGACAATTCCTTTCCTAGGACCCTTTCAGAAAATATAATAGAACTAAAAAAATAATAAATCTAAACTTCATTTAAAACCAAACATATAAATTGTAAAGTAAAGTAAAAGCAGGTATCTATAACTAAGTAAAAGATATTCCTTTACTCCAACTTGTCCATGTTTCCCAAAACAATTTTTAATTAAGCTTTATATTATAATGCTGATTTTTTATACTTAAAAATTTAATAATAAAGCATTTCGTACGTCTCAGCCGAGGCGCAAATATTTTTCGGCCGCAAATTTATAAGACCGATTTGTTATTCAAACATAAACATGGTTTTAAATCTACCAATCAAAAAACGACACGCATTTTTATTGAACACTTCCTGTTCAATTCACAAAGTACCTATTATATATTTGTTTATATAAAGAGTATATTTAAGTACAACCATAAAACTAAATGGAAACACAAAGTAGGCAAATGCATTGAGTTATACAACACATAAATCAATGGGCAAATGTAAAAATGCTGGAGGCAGGCAGCCCTATCGCATGTTTACGTACCGCACGGCTGTAGGATTTATTTCAAAGATACGGCCGAGTTACAATACTGTATAAATAATATTACCGTGACGTAAGCGCATCGGTTGGTAGGTACTCAAATAATATTATGTTTGTGGCGAAATATGGAACGTCGTCGACGGCGACGAGGGACAACGGGCATCTCGTACGGACGCATACAGCGTAATGCCGCCCACACTCTGCGCACGCCCCTTTATCATAGAAGTCACACAATTTTCGTAATTATTTCAATTAAAAAAGAAAAACGAACTTAAAAATTTAAATAAAACGTGGAGAATATAATTTTTTTAATTATCTATCCATTAGTGTAATCCTCAAATGATTAGAGCGTTGCGTTTAGCAACAGATGCATGTAATCAAGAATTTTAGTCATTTGTTAAAAGTTGATTTTAAATGTA